CCCCAGCAACCGCTGCAACCCTCGGAGAGAAAGCTGCCTTCGTGTTCCGACCGAAGACAGACAGTCCCGTTTCTCCCGTTTGAGTCTCCTTAGGGATTCGCCCGGCTCTGGAGCTCAGAGTCTGAAGCTCCCTCCCGATTGTAAACAACAACCGCGCCCTCGGCCGCCAGCCCGCTCCGCACGCACTCCGTACCTGAGTATTTCACTTCAGCACTGCGCCTCCTCTGAGTCTCGGTATGCTTTTCTCTTTCCTCCTAGTTGTAGAATTTCCATTCAGCCAGCCTCCCTGTGGTTCTGGATGATGTCCATTCTGTCTTTTAGTTGTATTTTTGAAGTGGTTGTGCGAGGCAGCAAACTCCCATGTTTACCTATGCCGCCATCTTGATTTCTCCCTCCTCCTGCTTCTTACAGGTGCTCCAAGGTGGGCAGTGGAGGGGTGTCTTCATGTGGTTGGGGGTTGGAGCCTCAGCTCTAATCCTGTCATCAATCAGTATCAGCTCTCCCTGCTACAGGCTAGTTTCAGGGGCCACAGCTCCTTTGGGGACCTCTGACCCCAGGGGCAACCCTAGAGCCTGCTCAGGAGCTGCTGGCTTCTGATCTGTCCTCTCCTCCCTTATGCTGCAACAGGAACAAGTATTTTCCTCTCCTGGGAGGGTGATTTGGTTGCCTAGGCAATGCAGTGTTCATTTGGGTGGATGGAGGGGCATTTTTTCCTTTTCTTGTTTCATCCACTTAGGGAGAAAGGAAACCAGGGTTTACATGGAGGGAACCCAGGGCACGGTATCTATGTATTTCTTGATTGGGATGTGGATAGGTGGGAAAAATAACAATGCAGGCCTCGCAGCTGTGTATCTGAGATCAAGAGAAAAAGTTCCTGCCTGAGATAATCACATCTGGTAAGCATGTATTTATAATTGGGAACCCAGGTCAGGGTCCCAACACAGCGGGCATAGGGGGTGGGGGGAGGGGGTTGAGATTGTATGGAGGGGAAAGTTTCCACCTGCAACTAGCAGGTTCCAGGTTCAGGGGCAAAAAGTCCCACCTCCCATGGGCTGTCCTGGCCTCTTTGGACTCATTGGATGTATGGCAGGGAAAGGAAGGCAGTGAACACCCTGGAGAGAGAGCCAGGAAGGAGGTCCCCCACATAGACTCCTGGTTGAGGGGACTCCCCTTGGTGCATCTTGGGTGCTCAAGGACACTCATCAACCCCCTTCAATGTTTCTGATTCCTGTGTGGTTTAACCCATTCTGGAGGCACCTCCTTCAATTCTATGTCATAAGCAGGAATCAGCCAGAGAGAAGGAAGTTGACTACCTGGGCAGATCTTGTCAGCTTCTGAGGTCATGGTGTCAGCAGTGGGATCTCAGAGTTTCCCCTTCAGCTCACCAGTCTGTACCCTTGGGGAAGAGGAAACGAATTGTGGGGTCAAATGTGAGCCCTCCTGAAGATGCCGGGTCCTCTCTGCTGTCCTCCCCCCACCTTTGGATCTTCGCTTGTTTCTAGTTCTTTATGAAAATCAATAATCAAAACACTCTTCTAGCATATGAGTTAACCTGCATTTGAGATTGTTTCCCTTAAGATATTTCTAAAAGTAGAATGACTGGGTCAGAAGGTATTGACATATAAAAATTCTTCATACCTATGCCACATTGTTATGCAAACAAACTGTGCCAATATCCACTTATACTCACAGTACATGAGGTGTCCATCTTTTCCATCTTTTAGTTCCTAGTAGGTTTTTTTTAAAGAAATACAAATTTCGTTTTATTTAAATTTTTTATTACACTAAAAAATGCACAACATAAAATTTACCACCTTAACCATTTTTAAGAGTAGAGTTCAATAGTGTCAAATTCTATTTACATTGCTGTGCAACCAGTCTCCAGACTCTCTTCCTCTCGCAAAAGAGAGACTCTGCACCCACTAAACAGTAACTGTCCTATCTCTCTCCTCCCAACCCCTGGAGACGGCCATTCTACTTTTTGTCTCTACAGACTTGAGTGCCTCACCTAAGTGGACTCATACAGGGATTATCTTTCTGAGATTGAATTGCTGCACTCAGCATAGTGTCCTCAAGCTCCATGCATGTTGGAACATAGGCCAGAATTCCCTTATGCTCGGGAGAATAACGGTTCCAGTTTCTTCTACGCATTTGCAGTTAAGGAGGGAATGTAAGGAAGATGACATGAAGGTGGGAGAAAGCAAGGAGGGGACTGGATTACAGGATGGTTCACAAGATGGTGCTC